CCCCAAAACCCCAAAACCCCAAAACCCCAAAACCCCTTCCTGAATTAGTCATGTTGAACTCCTATTTTTATTCATACAAGTACTCATACAGCTTGCGGTTGACCTCAAGGTCATATTTAAAGAACTTGAAGTAATCATTGGACCCTTTTGCTGGGAAAATCCTGATGTAGTCCTTCTTGCGAGTGTATTCAGCTGCAGCTTCAATGATGTTCTCAAAGTGTCTGGAGGAGACTAATTCCATCATCTTGGCCTTGGTTTTGTCAGAGTAGTCTCCCTCTTCGATGTGTTCGAGCAGGTCATCAATCTGGTCATCTGTGAGAGGAGGGTCAATGTACTTGTAATTCTTACATTTGTGTTTTGGAGGATGGGACTTTATGATGCTGCTGGTTAACTTCTGCTCATCCCAAGGAGTTCCCTCCTTCAGTGTTGCAGTGGAGAGCTTCCTGAAACCATACATGTTGAACATTTCAGTCACAAGTTTGGTCTTCAATTTTATGTCCATACTTGATTCGAGTGAAAGAGCTGGAGAGAGATTGATCTCCATCAGCCAGGGCCTTAGATTCTGATCAACCATTACATCGTAGCCGAAAATCTCGAAGGATTTGTTGGTATTCTTGAAGTGCTCTTTAGTGAAAAAGCTGATGTACCTCTCGCTAGAGAGTATACTTTTGATTATGAGATCATAGATCTGCTCCCAGAGTAGGTCTACATTTACCCCTCACGACTTTAGTCTTTCAAAGAAGGCTGTCAGAGACCATTTGAAGGGAAGAGTATCATCATTAAGCCTCATATTCCGGCCGAAAGCTCTGTTTTTCTTGTTGATAGAGTAATTTGTCAGATGCACAAATAGATTTTTCTCTGCTGCCATTTTAGAATATTTTTCAGTAGCAAATCTTGCCAGTCCTTCTCTGTATACATAAATCCTGAGAGGGTAAAAACTTGTGACAACGACATAAATTCTGAGATCGAATTTATGCCCATTAACAGTGAGAGGGTTATCTACATATTCACTAACAATTCCTTCTTCATCATCTAAGGTTTCAATTTCTTTTAAGAGGTAAATTCCTCTACCACGAGATAACTTGTTTGGCTTGACAATCCATAATTTATCAGGATTGTAATCTTTACTTTCCTTTAGAGTCTCCAAATAGGCTGCGAACTCTTCTTTCTGTGAAGGAACAAGGAAGGTCATCGGGCAATAATTATACTCTTTACTTTTATGCTTCTGTCTCATTAAATCAAAATTTTTGTACAAGTCCATTTTCCTGGTGATTTCAAAGGAGCTAGGAAAGTGATTTATCCATTGATAGTCATTAAACCCGTAAAACATGTGCTTTTTACCCACAGTATTGGTCCACAGAATCGATCAGTCAAATCCTCCAATTTGTTGGAAGCCATGGAGGTCTAGGATGGACCGAACTAGCCTTGCATTAGTCTTCCACATTTTATAGGTAAGGCCCTTTCCGTCATCACTAATTTGGTCAAAGTCTCTATTTTAAATGATGTCCCTTTTTAATGAAGTCTTCTTCATTGATCGAACTTGGCTTATGTAACTGTGATTCCTCTAAATATTGGAATTTAATGTATTTGTCCTCATAATCAAGAGGTAAATCAACCTCTGAAATCAGCTCTCTCTTGAGCTCATAGACCTCATGGGCTACTTTATACAGAAAAGCTTGGTGCTCTTCGTGATCTATGTATTCTTGTGAAGGTTCAAATTTAAATTCTTCCCGAGGGAAAATATTGCAAATCCCAGGCCTTTCAATAGTATTTATATCTAGCCTTGACGTGAAATTATGCCGAACGTTTTCCTCAGCGGCAGAGATTTGTTCTGGTGTTAAGTTAATAACAGTCTCTGAGTCAAATAAGCTTGGGATTTTAGAAGAATTACCAGATCCTGAATCTGGCTCAGCCTGGACGATAGCAGATTCCATATTTTCGACCTAAAATTTAAATAAATATTCCATTTTTGGAGTTGAACTGGGGTTTTGGGGTTTTGGGGTTTTGGGGTTTTGGGG